TCTCCCCTCCTCTCTAAAACTAATAAACATATCCTTGGGTGAGGATCAAAACAACAAAACTGAATTATTGTAAAAAATCAATTTGGTATTCAATGATTTGTTTTATTTCAGCCTGAACTCTATGATATCATTTTTAACCATTTAAAATTCTCACAAAGACTAGAAGTAAGTTTTATTTTAAGTCTGATTTACTGACTATGTTCTAAGAAAATGCCACGGTGAGGCTATAAATAAAATACCTTATTTTATATTTATTACTTCTCCTACAGCTATCATAAATTCATAGAAAATTCTACACATGTGTAAACCAGGAAAAATGAATTTTTTTAAAAGTGTGAGTCATTGATCATCTCAGATATAGCTGAGGAGCCAACATTGGTGAGGTAATTAAGTTACTAGAACCATCAAGGAAAATAAAATTGACTATATTTAGCACCTCCTAATTTTTTTATCTTATAAAAGTTAGTTGTTATTGATTGTCTACCTCTGGCTGTAATGACGAATCTTCACTTAAGGAGTCCAGTGCATAATTGAAATGCACTTCAGTCACACCCAGTGTTTGACATATTTCAAGTTTTCAGCAAAGCTGTGGGGGAGCTCAGATTAACCAGCTTTTACCCAACAACCAGGTGAGCCTTTAATATATTGAGCTTAGAGATCTTCTGGAGAAATCATGTCAGTTAGCTTGCACTACAAATTATTAGTTTGGTTCCCAAATAATAAATGTTTATACTCCTAAACTAGACCTACTCTGAATTCATTTTTATCCCTGAAAAAAGTATTTTTTTACAGAATAAGACTATGTTCCAGATAACATCCTTCCCATTCCCAACAAGTATAGTATTACATGGGTTTCAGGAAAGGCACATGGTTCAGGATAGCACTAACCTCTCCCTGGAATAGAAAAGCTAACAGAACACACTTAAGAGCTATCTAGCATGATTGCTTATTTATGGCCAAAGGATGGCTTTGTAATCTCACATGCAAAGCAAGCAGCAATAATTTTACTTGACATGGACATTCTTTACTGAAGTGTACACAGATGGAAACACTAAGGGTGAATTTTACTATGAACTCAAATAAATAAAATTAAATTATAGATCACTTGAAAAATTGCATGGCAGTGTAATGAAATTTAATGACTCTGGTTTGGGACTACCTGTTTACATAATGTGGGAGCAAAGGGCAGAAAACTCAGCCCAGACTGCCTTTAGCAAAATAACTGCAAAGTCTGAAGGTTCTGATTTCAGGTATGGCTTGATCAAGGCTCAAGTCATGTCATCCGATTATTTCTGTCCTGATTTTTTGGCTCTCCTCCTGTACCAGCCCTTTTCCCAGTCTTTTCCCCTTGTATTGCTAAGATAACTGCCACAACTTAGCCTGACAGATAATCCTGTTTGAGACCAGCAGAGAAAGAGGGCCTTTGCTTTTCTCTTAATTCAAATAAAAGCCCTGTGTGCCCTGATCATACACAGCCAGGGACTATGCCCAGTAGGGCCCTTTGCACTGACAGGATTAAGCCTTTGTAGTTGAGGATTCCTTGTACCATGAGAAGGGTGGGGCAGAGGCATTCCCATTTGTCTATTTGACAGTAATGATACTAATAAAACTTAACATCTATATCCTGGTTTTTATGTGGCAGGCCATATGCTAAGTGCTTCACTGTGAATTGCCTCATTTACTAATAGGACAGAAAAGTTCCCTCTGGCGGGCATTTTTCTCAGTGACTCCAGCAGTAAGATCACTAACTGAGAATATGGATGGGAAAGAGCATGCACTTCTAATGTTTTCCCCTCCACTTAATGTACTAATTCTTTAAGATACTCTTTATCACAGTAAGGAAATTTCTTTATATTACCCTTAATAAGAATCAGGAATGGGTGCCATCCTCAACATATAGTTTCCGTCTCTAAGAAGCTGGTTGTTCCCACATCTCTCTATCTGAAGTCAGAGAAAAGGGGAGATAGGACCTGGGGTGTACATACTCAGTCCTGTATGGATGGGACCCTGGAGTAGCTAACATCATCTCCACTCACATCTCAACGACCGAATATTAACCACAGAGCCACAGCTAGCTGCAAGGGAGGCTGAGGATTAGCACCTCACTGAACAGCGTGTGCCCGGCTAAAACACGAACACTGCTGAAGTATAAGAGATTGGAGGACAGCTAACTACACAAGATAATCATATGCTTTGTTCCTTTAATTTTTTTGATGCACTACAAAACATTAATATATTTTCTAATGTTAAATCACCCTCACCTTCCTAGGATAAATCCCACATTGGTCAGGAAGATTCTTTTTACTGGATTGTTGGAGTTGATTTGTGAATGCTTTATTTAGGATTTTGGCACCTATGTTTACTAAAGTATTTTTAAACTAATATAGAAAATTGTAATACTTTACATGTATATGGTACTTTGCAGTTCTTGAAATTATTTCACATATGTTATCATCATGAGAATTGATGATTATCAGGAGCTATTAAAAAAGCAGTATATAATAAATGTGTAAATAGAAAACATCTATAAATGGAAACTGCCTTTTCTTATTATTACCTAAACTCTAAAGGGCTGTCAGTGAGACTGAAGTAAAGATTAGGAGAGAAGAGAATACAGAGGACTGAAAAGGGTTTTTGCTCACAGGAACCTAGGAGGGAGTTACCAACCCCAACCCCGCAACCCCCAGAAAGCACAGGGAGGAATGGGGCTGCTGGCCCTTTAAATGTCTAGCCCTGTGCTGGTGTTCTAGACATTCTATCAATATAATGTTTAAACAACCTGGTTTTGAATTTATAAGTAAAGGATTTCCTGGTTATTAAACATTCTTTCTTAACTTTTGTTTTGCTTTCTTATCTGCACAGACTAAATTAGGTCGTGGCAACTGAGCTCTCCCCTGGGAAAAGGAAGCACTAAATATACAGGGTGCTCCTGCTGCCTGTCTGGCGGCCAGGTCACATACATGCCCTGGTCACACAGTCTCCCGCAGGGTTAAGGAGCTTTTCCAGAATACACAATTACCTAACAGTGATCACCCAGAAGTATAAAGTGCCTTTGGGAGGAAAATACATGGCCGGCTGACATATTTTGCAAAAAGAGGCAATTGATAACAGATTAGGCATCACAGTAAACATAGAATTGCCCAAATAGCAAGGCCTGTTTGTAGAGCTGACCCATACAAAATATGCCGTTTGTTCACTGCTCTTCCCTGAGTCTCAGAGCCTCTAGTGTGTCAAAGGTTAGGTACTTAGGGCAGCATTCACTCTAAGATCACTCAGCAGAGCTTTCAGCCCTCTCTGCCCCTCCTCAGCCCTCCCTCCCTTCTTCCCCCTCTCTCACCCATCCTTCCTCCCTCCCTCCTTCCCTCTCTCCCCTCCTCCCTCACATGCACCCTCAGAAGCAGTGACACCACAGTGTACCTGGGAAGAACCTGCTGGCTTCTCCTGAGGCTGGCTGCACATTCCAAAACGAAGCAAAGATCAGGGAATTGTCTGATAAGTCACATTGGTGCACATGTCCCATTGGAACAATTCGATCCCACAGTAGCTTTTTGCCCTGGACTTTGTGCATTGATCCAACTGGTCAGATAAGTCATCCAAACCTACTTTCCTTTGTGCTGTTTGGGGAAAGCCTATGTGCCTAAGTTCTTAATGACTATTTCTTCTGGGATAAATGCACACCATGCACAATACATAACCGAAAGTGCATGGAGAAATACCCCAGAGACCCATCTATTACTTACCATCACCAGCCCTAGAAATTCATTATGAATATGGATGATGAATACAGTGAAAGTCCAGGTGACTAGAACCTCCCAACTGCCATTTTCCGTCTTTCCGAGCGGATGTCATGTGTCGCGAAGACACAACAGTGGTATGAGCTACACAGGTCGTGTAACTAAGCACCTCAGTTTAAAATAGTTAATTATACTGTACCCTACAGGAAGAAAAAATGTTTTCTCGGGTTTCTGAAAATGGATGATGAGTAGTTTAGAACTTCGTGGATGTCCAAACTTTGGTTGCCTATTTTTAAACTGCTGAGCTGGGGTTTTTTACCCTACAGGAAGAAAAAATGTTTTCTCGGGTTCCTGAAAATGGATGATGAGTAGTTTAGAACTTCATGGATGTCCAAACTTTGGTTGCCTATTTTTATTTATTTTTTTTTTGGTTGCCTATTTTTAAACTGCTGAGCTGGGGTTTGAAAGAAGCTGTTCAGTTCCAGAGCCCAACTCAGTACCATTAGGCCCTATGGTCTGTTCATATGAGTAGATAAAGAGGAAAAATGTAAGGGGAAAATTAGTGGAAGAAGAGTTAGGCTACCAGGTAGTAAATTTGCTAAAAGCCTGGACAACTATAATAGCCTGACGTGGGTTCAGCAAAAAGTAGGTCAGCCTTTCAGTGAAGTAAAATCCAAAGGTAGATCCGAATATATCTCAGAATTTAGGGTGAAAATAAATTTCATCCTAGCTGTCTCCCCTCTGCCATCTCATTATAAGAGCTCAATACATGTTGTGTTGTTGTCAAATCACATTTAGGTTGTTCAAGATTTAAACGTAAAAAGTAAAACTAAAATGTTTCGAAAAGCAGTTTGAAATCAGTATTTCTGTCATCTTTGGTGGAGAAGCTTCCTAAGCAGAGTGTTGAAACTAAAAGCCATAAGGAATAGAATGATAAAATTTGACTACTCAGAATTTTAAACTTGTGCAAGTCTGAGCATACAAAGTCTTATAAATAACCCCAGATCCTCTTCTCAAAAAATATCTTATTCTAGAGCTTCGAATAGATAAGCTTTAAAAATATAAGCAAAGGGATTGATTAAGTGAAAAGTTATGAATCTACCCACCACTGAAATCTCTCTAAGATGGCCACAGCACCAGGATGAGCCTCACCAGGCCAGATTAGTCCGAAACACAAAGAAGTTATTTCTGTAGAGACAAAACCTGCTGGCAGCCTTAATCCCTCCCAAAACCTCAGACCACATGCAGCCATTAACCAAAGTAAACATGGAAAGAGGAGCATTGGAATTGTCAGTAAATTCTGCAAAGTTGAAATTCAAGCCATCAGTTTCAGTAATTCCCAGAAGTTGACAGCTAAATCTAAACACTGTGTGGCTTTGAGATTTTACAGCTGGGCCCCTGCAAAGGTTTCTGGAATTAAAAAAAAAAAAGAATATAATTGATGTAGCATACACAGACACCTTTGTATGTCGTTAGCTTTTAAAGTATTTATTTAGCCCCAGTGAATAAAGGAATCAAGGAATGTAGGATTGAAAATCTGCGTAGAGATCAAGGTCAAGTGAAAGCCCTAAGTAGCTTCTAAGAGATTTGCACCATCCTGAGCCATGGTAACATGGCAGTTTTGTCTGGCTGGCCACAGCCTGTGAATAAGGCCAGCTTTAAGCAGCTATGGCGGTGTTTAATTTTGTCCCTAAACTGCAACATCCTCATTGTAAATTTGCTCTCTTTAATTTGTAGTGACCTCAGGGAATAGGATATCTCCGTTGGAAATGGGGCCCAGGAAGAGCTTTGTGGGCCTAAATTTGAACTGGGTGATCCCTGCGAACTTATCCTAGTGAAATTGATATTCGCAGTGATGTGCCAAGTTGGTTCATTTGGAGCTGGTCTCACCTCCTTACTAAAGACCCCCTTGTAGAGGCCCCAGAACTCCTCACCGAGAGGCTGAGCCTCACGTAGTGTCACAAAGAATAGGGACAATGACCCAGATAACTCTGATCCAAAGAAGTTGCCTCTCTTGCTTCAAACTATCCAGTAATAGGGGTGTTGTGGTTGTGGGGGAGTATTTGGGAGTGGAGATGAAATAATCCTGGAGTTATCTATTCAGCCTCCATCTTCCCTGGTTTGGTATGGAGATGCACAAGTGGTTTGCATTGAACTAGGTAAAATAAGCAGAAAATATTTCTGAGACCATTTATTTTATGTTAACAGATCATGTTAGAGCTTGTTAAGAAACTCTATTTGGACCCAGTGATCCCACTTCTAGGAATATATCCCAAGAAACTAGAAACACCAATTAGAAAGGATATATGCATCCCTATGTTTATAGCAGCACAATTTACCATAGCGAAAATCTGGAAACAGCCTAAGTGCCCATCAGCAGATGAATGGATTAGAAAACTGTGGTACATCTACAAAATGGAATACTATGCTGCTGTAAAAAGGAAGGAATTCTTACCATTTGCAACAGCATGGATGGAACTGGAGAGCATTATGCTAAGTGAAATAAGCCAGTCAATGAAAGAAAAATACCACATGATCTCACTCATTTATGGATAATAAAGACCATTATAAACTGATGAACAAAAATAGATACAGAGGCAGAGCAGCATCGAACAGACTGTAAAACTACAGCAGGAAGGCTGGGGAGGGTTGGGGAAGAGGGGGTAAGAGATCAACCGAAGGACTTGTATGCATGCATATAAGCATAACCAATGGACCCAAGACACTGGGGGGTAGGGAGGCCGCGGGAAGGTCAAGGGGAGAAAAAAAAAAGGAGAAATATGTAATACTCTCTCTTTGTAATACTTTAAGCAATAAATAAATAAATAAATAAATAAATAAATAAATAAATAAAATAAGAAACTCTATTTGGGGTTGCTTTGGGTACTCACTGCAGAAGAAAATTGACTTGAAAATGATAAGTACAGATCTGTGATCAAGTATTCAGAGTGTCTGAGTGATGGAAAGAGAAAAAGGTCGCAGACAGATGGCAAAAAACTGCATTTGACCTTTGTGCCATGGGGTCAGAGTGCCTTTTCCTCTCTTCAGGGGGTGGGAGGGTTGTGAAATGCAACTTAGGGCTGTAAACTTGGACTGGTTGGAAAGCGGCCACCTTTATTTAGCAGGGTCAGCAACGCCTTGGACAGTTGAAGGGTAGATTGATCATGACCTCGCTGCTACCAAAATTATGAGTTCATTTTAGGTTCTTTTCTCATAGTCAAGACAGCAGCATCTCAAAGTAGCCGAAGAAAGAGGAAACTTGCTTCAGTTTCTGGCTGTTCGATCTTAGAATTGCACCTGGATATTAGATCTGGCAAAGAATCATCAAAAATAACGTCATTGTGTGGGTGTATGTTACTTTATCCAGACATTTCACTTTTACTTTCCTGCTCTCTCTCCTCCCCTTACCCTCGTCCCTCTCACAACAGGCGTAGAAGACATCGTGGCGATAATGATTCCTGAGCCCAAAGGGAAGGAGATCGTCAGCCTGCTGGAAAGAAACATCACCGTGACGATGTACATCACCATCGGTACCCGGAACTTGCAGAAATACGTGAGCCGCACGTCGGTTGTGTTTGTCTCCATCTCCTTCATCGTCCTGATGATCATTTCCCTCGCATGGCTGGTCTTTTATTATATCCAGAGGTTTCGATATGCAAATGCCAGGGACAGGAACCAGGTGAGTAGCAAAAAGTTTTTCTAAAACTTAAAAATTACTATAAAAATAAGACATGTTATTGTATAAACTTAGAAAATCACACAAACTACTAAGACAAGACCAAAATTACCCTAGGATATCCCATCTCCGACACTCAAGATAAGCACTTAATATTTGCTGCATAGTTTTTCAGATCTTTGCCAAATACACATATTTTGATGTTTTATCAGTATTGTTCTATAAAATGGAGGGGCTTTGTCCTATATACCTAGTGCTCATCTTTTTTTAGGCACATAATAAAAGGAGAAAGGGAACATGAGCTGAGATTATGCTAATAGTGGCAACATGGTTTAGGAAGAGCCCAAATTTCCTCCCTGTGGATAGAAGAAAAGGAGGTAAATAAAAGCTATTTTAAAAAGCAATTAATTTTTGAACAGATAATATATATACATGGTATAAATTTCAAAAGGTATAAAATGGTGTAAATGCAAAGTCATTGCCTTCCCATGTGTACCCCTTAGTTACTCAGGTCCTCTGCCTGGAATTTCTTCTCTTCTAGAGATATTTCATGTGCTTGAAAATGCATGTACATTCGTGTGTGTGTGTGTGAACAAATAATAGTACACTTAATTCTGTACCCTTATTTCTCACTGTATCTTAGAGATTAATTTATATCAACACTCAATCCAAGCTGCCTTCTCATTTCTAATGCCTGGATTACATTTCCTTTTCTGTGTATGCTGTATTTATTAAACCAGCTCCTATTGATGAGCATGTTTTCTCTTTTTAAAAAAATGTACAAGTGACACTAAGCACGTCCTACTGATTGAATTTGGCCCTTTTTGGCCTTAGAAGTAAAGATTGGTTGTTAAGTCCCTTCTAGTATCTAGTCTAAGACCCCCTGACTCCGGGGGCTCCACAGAGGAGGCTCAGGGTTCTTCTACTCAACTAATCACCTCCCTTCTTAAACTCTGAGATGGAGAGCCAGGGTCATGACAGATTCTTTTTAATTTTGTTTTATTGATTGATTTTGAGAGAGAGGGAGAAGGGAGAGAGGGAGAGGGAGAGAGAAACATCGATTTGTTGTTCCACCCATTCATGCACTTGTTGGTTGATTCTTGTGTGTACCCTAACTGGCAACCTTGGCGTATCCAGATGATGCTCTAATCATGTGTATCCTAACCAGGGATCGAACTGGCAACCTTGGCGTATCCAGATGATGCTCTAATCAACGCAGCTACCTGGTAGGCCAGGGACATGACAGATTCTTGACCTGAATGCCAATGTCCACTATGGGCAGCCTCCCTTCCCCTCCAGGAGGTGAAGGAGCCATGTGTCCCTCACTCTCCAGATGTGCCACTTTGGCAGCTGTTCACCCTGCAGATGCAGCGAGCAGCATTCCTGCCATGGCTGTGGCAGGTGAGCCTGCCTGCTGGTGATGCTCGGGGACATTGTCCCTCTGTCTCCTAGGATATCCCATCTCTGACACAAAGACGGGGTCTGTGTCCTGAAAACCACAGGACTCTCAGTAGACAGCGGCAATTTCAAACATGGGCAGATCAGATAAATGATGTAAGGCTCTTTTTTGTTTTTCATAAACAATGTTGCCTTTGAGGCTAATCCAAGGAAACCAGACCTGGTTTGTGTTGTTTTATGTGAGGCCTGGTAATGACATTCAACCAAGCTTTCTTGAAAGAGGTACTCCTCTGTGTGAATACTTTTCCTAGTATTTGCGTGTACATGGCCCATGGCCCCTTGATTTCATTTGCACATTTGGTCCTGAAGTTATGCTGGAACAAGAGAAGCAATGGTATTTAAGACAAACTTGAACGCCATGGGGGAAGAGACGGGGAAGGGAAAGGAGTATGCCAAGTGTCCCAGGGGTCAGAGATGCTTCTGTCTCCTAAAAAGTGACAACCAACTCGGTCCCTGATGTGTCCCTGCAGAAAGTGCAGAGCCCTCGGAAGGATGGAAAGGCAAAATGTATGTTATATCTGTGACCTATTAGCCATTGACTTGCCATGTTTAGATTATTCAGGTCCCAAGGATCTTTGCCTCCCAGTCCTGTTCTGTGTGGGAGAAAATCCTGACCTGGTAAAACTGGAAATGACATGACTCCACATACCTGGTTTTACTAACGAGGGGAACTGGGGTGCAGAATGTTGAAGTGACTTGGCCAAAGTCTCACAGTTAGTGACAGAATGACTCCACACTGGTTTTACTAACGAGGGGAACTGGGGTGCAGAATGTTGAAGTGACTTGGCCAAAGTCTCACAGTTAGTGACAGAAATAGGACAGAAAGCTGGATCTTCTAACATGCAAGCCATTGCCTTCTCTTCTACACCAACCTCCCACAAAAGATAACTCTGACGTTTCTACCTCATGCCATGTGTGCACAGCTTTAAGTCATCACTCTGTGAGGTCACCAGGCTGATTCTCTTACCCACTTTACTACATTTACAGAATGGTGACCTACATCATAGAAATCAGCTGAACTGGCTGTGCAGTGATTTCTGTTGCATCCGCCAGGCCTGGAAAATTCATTGTTATGTATTAGAGCGAGTGAGGGAAGTGTCTGAGTCACCTGTGGCCACATGAGGTTCCAGATGACTGGGACCAACTCTGTTTATGTTTACAGTGTCCTCTCTTCACCTAGGACATAAGAACACTTTGTTGTTTTTCCACTTGGTGGTGGTGATGAGAATCATGATGATCAAATACAGCTGTTAGTAAAAAGGGGCAAATATGATACAAAATTATCCAATCAGATGAAATGGAACATTAACTCGATTTTGATGCTGTATTGGTGTCCTTATGTTCCTAGTTTGTTTTTAATCATGTTCACTGCACGTCTGTTATAACACAGAAGGGGACAAGAGGAAAGTGTCTTCGTTTTCTCCATCTCCTAAGGTCACTAGCTTGTGTGTCTTGGGTTGAACTGGAGTCTGCCATTGTTTACCATCCTTGTTGGCATTTATATAGGACTTTCTTCTTTTAATAAATGGTTCTTTTTTATTTTTCATGAAGCCATTTGTCTTCACTACTGTCAAGGAACCAATAACCTTGGTAAATGCTTTCTTATACTCATTTAGATTCAATTGACGGATAAATCTAATTATTAAGATGACCCAACTCCTGGTCATCTTTAGTGAAAAGCATGATTTGGATCTAGTTGGGTTAGAGAAAATCTGTAGGAGCCCCTAGACAAGGGAGAGGAGTCACCCTCTGAAACAAAAGGCCTCTAGAAACTTGAGGTGATCCCTAAATGTATGAGGTGGCCCCTAAATGTACCTGCGGTGGTCGCTAAATCTCCCATTAGCAGCCTGTTAGTCTGCATTTCTGAGAACCAACCACAAAGGAAAGGATGCTTTTTGTGACAGACTTCTGGTTCCAACCCCCAGATTCTCTATTCAGGCTCCACACCAGGCTCAGTTTGAGCAGGGCCTGTGGTTTTTCTCTCGTTTATTCTTGGTGCAGTTAAGAACCCAAAGATGGAAGAGACCAACTGCAAAAGCTACAACTGCTTTAGTTGGACCATTTCATTCAGAATGTTTAGGTTTTCACTCATTATCTCTTTAGTTTGCACTTTGGAAGTCCAGTAACACTGGTTAGAAAATTGTTGCAAGTGAGTCAGTGTTTTTATTTAGAAGTCAATATTCCTGGGTCATTTTTGTGTCACTTACAGAGAAATACAAACATGTGCATACTTACAAAATTTGACTACATTTCAAAACTTTATGGTGCTTTCCCCTTTTTTGGTTAATCTAGACTCCTATTGAAAATAGCACTGCACAGTTTCATAACTATTATCTATATCTCAGAAGCGGACTTTTCTGTATTCCCCAAGGTATCTAGAACATCTCTGCCCCCAGTACGTCGGACTTCCTTATCCTTTGTCAGCCGCTCACAAAACGTTACCCATTTCCTCCTGAAAGGAGGTGTATGTGAATTACCATCTGAAATGAGGCACTCCAAGGGAAAGGAATACCCTCACACCATTTTTCCAGAATGATGAGGAAAACATGTCTTCCTTCCTTTGTGAGTCATCTGATTTCTCAGGACTTCCAGGAAGGAAGACCTCTTAGACTTGGTGTTGAGAGGACTTTATCATTTTCTTTTATACTCGAATTTCTCCATCTGCTAGTTCTGCTCATGTGAGAAGCCCATCTCCCAAATGACTTTATCCTCCACTGAACTCCTTTAACCTCCCAGCCCTCAGTCACAAATGCCAGTAATGGAATTCCTCTTTCTAATCCCCTAACCATTAACTCTGCTATTAGCCATAATCCCTGATACCCTAATGTCAGCTTACATTTCCTGGATAGACAAACCATTTTCTTTTTGTTTTTTATAAATGCAGCTTTCATTTTCCCTTAAAAGGGTATGGAAACAGCTTTTTATTTTTCTGGAAGAGAGAAGGGGATTTTTTTAAAAACACCCCATTTTTATTCAGATATAACCAAAAGCAAAATAAAATACATGGACAAGATAGAAAGTAGTCTTTGAATTTACCTTACATGTTCACATTTTTAAAGGACATATTTCATTTGCTTAAAAAATGATTTTAAATAAATTTTGAAAACATTATTTCTGGTTCACCTCCTTAAAAAATGATGGTCTTTTTTTTAGTATAATCCAATACCATTGTTTGAAAATAATTTTTGCTGCCTTATTGCTCTGCTTTAAAAATAAAAAACAATTTAAGTGATGGAATTGGGGGCAGATATTATATAATAAAAATTAAACACAATTACAGAAATATTTGAATTCATAACTTAAAACAATCAATACTTGACTGTAGGTCCGGATCTCTTATTCTAAATATAATATTCTACAGGTTTTCTGCATTTACTCCCTGTAGCAAGTAGCCCCTTCTCCATGTCTTTCAATTCTTGCTCCTGTCTTCTTCAATGAAAAGCAGCTCTTAGTTGCGACAGGCTGGATTTGACAAGGTCAGGACCATAGCTTTGCTTACCTAACCACATGTATCATGGTTTGTCCATGTATTTTCACATTAACTGGTAAATTTCTCAGGTTGTTATCCCTGCTAAAAAATAAAAATAAAAAATAATTTTAAAAAGACGGTCTCTTGGTTTAAGATTTTATTCACTCATCGACCATTAAGGAAGATTCCACTAGATAGTAAACTACAGAGAGCAGAAATTTGTGTGTTTTCACTACCATTTTTTTTTCAAAACCCAGAGCTTTTGAAACTGGGACGAAATATGTGATCTGAAATATGTATTGAATGATCCACTGTCAATTACTGAAGGAAGCTCTATTCATATTAATGGGAAGCAAACATAAATACAGCCCTGTCCTCAGGGAGCTTACATGAGAGAAAAGTAACTGGGGTTGATCTTTAAAATAGTATATGTTGTCACAGGGCTATGAAGCAGAGGGACAAGGTGCTGTGAGGGTGTAGACAAGAGGGGTCTTTTCTCCAGGAAGACATCTGGGAAGGGCTCCCCAAAAATGACTTGATTTGAGACCAAAGGACAATTATTCAATAACTAGAGGAAAAGAGGAGGGAAGAGAGTTGCATCCTGTTTAGTTTTACCTCAGTTCTTTTTTCCTCTTACACTATGTCCCCCATTGGTATTTATCATTATAGACTCTTCCTATTTTCCTGCCAATTTAGTTTGCTGTCTACTCCTGGACTTCTGCATAAATCTCAAGTGTATATGGGTGTCCCTTTAGGAAACAGCCAAAGTTTACTCTCCTGTTAAAAATGCCGGTGATTATTTTAAAAACTAAAAATGAAATATCAAAAAGGAAAGTAAATTAATGTGGAGAATATCTCCTTTTATACTTATTTACTGTAACCACTGTAAGTATAGCCCAGCTGGTGTTGCTCAGTGATTGAGTGTTGACCTATGAACCAGGTCAAATACAGTATTTCTTGATGTGGGTTATGGTGGTTATATAGGGGTTTGCTGTATAATTATTTGTTAAACTAAACATATTTTTATGTATTTCCCTATACCCATACCCACACTTAAACATACACAAAGGAGGCAAAATTGGCATGTAAGAATGTGATGTAATAGCATAATACAAACTAAATATAAACCTAGTTTGAGTCTACTTAAGTAAAGGATATTCTTAAAATTCCAACCGAATTACGTGCCCTTGACTGGAATCGAACTCTGGGACCCTTCTGTCCATAAGCTAATGCTCTATCCACTGAGCCGCATGGCTAGGGCCTCAATTTATTTTTTTTGGTAATCTGTATAAATGTAACCTGCACTAATGTCACTGGACAGGATCTTTCCATATCATATGCCACTTGCTTAACATGCGGCATGAAGACCTTCTCTCTAATAGACCTCAATTACCAGAGCCACTTTGTTCAGATATCACCACCCCATCTCTTTCAGACATCATTAACATTCATGCCAAAGGATATTCTTAAAATTCCAACCGAGTTACATGCCCTAGACTGGAATCAAACTCTGGGACCCTTCCATCCATAAGCCAATGCTCTATCCACTAAGCCAAACCAGCTAGGGCCTCAATTTATTTGGTGGTTTGTTTGTTTTTTGGAAATCTGTATAAATGTAACCTGCACTAATGTCACTGGACAGGATCTTTCCATATCATATGCCACTTGCTTAACATGCGGCATGAAGACCTTCTCTCTAATAGACCTCAATTACCAGAGCCACTTTGTTCAGATATCACCACCCCATCTCTTTCAGACATCATTAACATTCATGCCACTCGTGCATGATTTCAGATATAGCTGCCCTGGTTTATTAAATGTTATTAGAAGCAAAGTCAAGAATTACAGGCCTTTATTACTAACCAGCAGCATTTGCTGTTTCAGCGCCGACTGGGGGATGCAGCGAAGAAAGCAATCAGCAAGCTCCAGGTCAGGACCATCAAGAAGGGCGACAAGGTAACAGCCTCTTTTCTTTGCATGAGGGGCTGTTCAAACCAGCTCCTGGCTTTACTGGCCACCGAGGTAGAAGAGAGAGAAGGATGGGAAAGGGGGGATGTATGCTAATAGTTCTCCCATAGGCAACTGTTATTTTACCCATCTTTATTAAATCCTAGAGGCCCGGTGCACTCGTGCATGGGTAGGGTCCCTAGGCCTGGCCGGCGATCAGGGCTGATCTGTGCAGCAACTGGTGGGGCGACTAGGGGAGGGAGGGGGCACTTGCACCCACCTTGGCTGACCTGGCGCCTGCAGGCTGGGGGCAGCTCCTGCATTGAGCGTTTGCCCCCTGGTGGTCAGTTTGCATCATAGCGACCGGTAGTTCTGCCTTTCAGGCAATTTGCATATTAGGCTTTTATTATATAGTATAATTTAAAGCCCTTTATAAAATGTATACAATAGGACAGCAAAGTAGTTGGGATAGAAAATATGAGAAATTTAAAATTAATGTAGGAAGAGCAGATGAAGCCAGGATGAAATTAGTAGACAAATGCATTACCTAAAATGCCTAACAGAAATGGGCCCCAAATTTAGGTGGGGGCTTTCTAGCAGCCAATGCAAAGAAGGAAATCATATTCCATTTTCAAGCAGTAGCTAATTACCTGATTCCAGTGTCCCACAAGATTTAAAAAAATAGTTCCTGTATTAGGACTTGATTCTTTGCAAAGAAGACAATGTTATGTGCTGAACGATGTCCTCCACTACAGTAAATATAGGAAGCATATTTAGTGCCTCTGAAGTCTGGTGTCTAGAGCCCCAAAGTCGTTGTAGCAGCCTCCCTCACTGTAGCAGGATGACATAAAGCCAAAAGCAAATGCATGTCTAGAGGACAGACAACAGAGCAGTGCAGTCCATACCTGCGGCCTCTGAGGATCTCTCTTCGCCCAGGAGAAATTTTAAACAGTGGATTGCAGACATGGATTTGGAGCTCTTGGGAGCTTGTAAGAGATTCATGACTCAACATGTATTCCAGGTGGTTGTCACTAGTCTGAATAATTGATTTGTCTCCCTAATTATGTGCTGCTGTTTTTCAGCTATATAAAAATTCTGTTGAGCTTATTATGATAACATTCATTTAAAATCACTACTGAATTGAAAGTATTTTTCCATTACTTTTTCCCCTGAAACAGAGAATAATAAAAGAATAAGAACTATTATATAAGTAATATTTTATGGGGTATTAAGGAGATTTATATACTTGGGGAAGAAAGAGGGAAGTCAGAAACACTATTTTAGCATTGTGTACATTAGATTCCTGAGGAATGGAAAGATTAAATGTTATTCAGATACTTCTCCATAAATGGTATTTCTCATCTTCGAGTTTTTGCTGTGTCACCTCTAATTATAATAAATAGCAGTATTAGTAATGGTGTAATTTAAAAATTGTTCCACTTGCGGTGGAACCCAGAGACAAAAAGTGGAGATTAGAATGAATGGAAACTAAGCCAGTAAATAGTAAATTATTGATTAAGAAAACTGATCCCGAGACCATTGAAGCCTGGCCCTGAGGCATGGTCCTTTGGCGTGTTATTTGGGTATCTTTACAAGAGTTGAAACTACAAAAGTAGGCTCATGTGTGCTTTCTGTGTTGCAGGAAACAGAGCCCGACTTTGACAACTGCGCAGTCTGTATTGAAGGGTACAAGCCCAGCGACGTGGTCCGGATCTTGCCCTGCCGGTGAGTCACCAGGATGCCTGGTGTGACTGGGGCGAGTGTGGCGAGTGCCTGCTGGCCTCTGGCTCAGACCTGCTAGGCCCATCTGCCCAAACGTTTCCATGTGTCACTATCAAACAACCGGAAAGCTCATTCTTTCTGTGTAACTTTTCTCCTGATCCTCTTTGCACCAAAGGAGGTATACCTCTAGGAAGTAGGACCTCATGATACAGTTTGATAGCACGGATCCCAGTACTAGTTTTCTTTAATAGAAGATTTGTGATAGAGTCCAGTCTTGATTTTACAGTGCTACTTTAATTAAATGAGTAAAATCTTTCAAATATTTTATGAATGATCAGCAGCCAGGAAATGGTCAGGATTAAGTAGGAAGCCAAAGGCAGATTCCATTTCTCTTATTTGTTTGGTTTGTGGGGGGGGTTGTTGTTTTTAGGGGGGGCTGAGGTTTTTTTTGTTTTACTAACAGGAACAGAATGTGACAGTCCCCTGCCAAAACTTCTAGAATCTATAGGAGAGAGTGCCCGCAAGTGTAGCTGGAAAAGCTCCCCAGGTGATTCTCACGCAATCCTCATTCCTCTCGCTAATTGATATTTACTGTTAAGGTGTCTGAATTCCTTTTATGCTGTTAAAATTAAACACATTTAAATAACTTAATTAAATTATTTTAAAGTTGCCTTAAAAGCTGTCCTCCTATAATTAAAAACCTCTCTGCATCTGCTCAAGTGTCCTAAAAATAAAATTAAATTCTGCCTTGAAGAAATGGTCTTCACTTGAAAAGACTGGCTTTAAAGAATCTTAAAATACTCACGTAAATAAAGTAGAAAAGCACACAAAGATAGAAAACACCCAAAGATACAACACAATCCATTTAATCATAAAACAATGCATCTTATAAAACTATTCATTAGAAATACAAAAGAAATCAAGTATGCCTTTGGAGGAATTGGTTTAATAATCTCAAAATGACAAAGAAGTTACAGAGAAAAAATCACACCCAGGATACTCAAATAAGTGCAGAAACCCTCAAGGGGAATGAATGGATTGTACTTGAAATGCTTTTAGGCCAATTGATCTTTAGGAAACCAGGCCTGAGGAAGGGCACCCTGGTGGCCCCAGCCAAGGCCTTTGAGTGGGATTCCTCTCCTGGGTTTATAGATGCCTGACTGTCTCTAAGATGAAATCGTAAGTGGGGCACATAAAGACTTGGTAGTTTCCTTCATATGAGGGTACTAAACATACATTCGCTCTCTAAACATTATATGTGGCGTTTACTAGGTGACTTCTAGAAACACTGCAAAGAGTAGCAGTGTGTGAACCTCAGAGAGCCTCTCAGTGTAGCATCTTTTCATCTCTGCAGATTTTACTCGGGGTTTTATATATCCTGATAGTTATAAGTAAGGAAAGTGCTTTTCTTTATTTTATTTCTTGGAGACTGTTTAGAACCTTGTCAGGCTACTCCTAATAAAAAAATATTCAGAGCAGCCCGGTCAGTGTGCTCAGTGATTGAGCATCAACCTATGAACCAGGAGGTCACGGTTCAATTCCCGGTCAGGGCACATGCCCAGGTTTCAGGCTCAATCCCCAGTGTAGGGCACACAAGAGGCAGCCGATCAATGATTCTCTCTCATCCTTGATGTTTCTCTCTCTCCCTCTACCTTCCTCTCTGAAATCAGTAAAAATATATATTTTTTAATGTCTAAAGCAAATTAAATAGCAACTTTTTCCTGAGACTCCAAAGAACTTTACAAATGTAATTAAGAAAATATGTTAGGGGGGTGAGGGCATGTGTTGGGGGCTGGGAGTGGCCGGGAAGAGGTCAAGGGGGGAGGGGAAGGAGACATATGTAATACTTTAAATAAAAAAGAATTAAAAAAGAAAAAAAAAAGAAAATCTCTTTTAAAAACTAGGTACAGCATTACTTTAGCTCTGTAATTCATACAGTGTAAAATACCTTGTTCATTTACAGTTCTGGCATAAGTATATTCCATGTTACTACATACAATTACTAGAGGCTACATAATAGCCTAGTCATAGACGTACCACAGTTCACTTCACCATGTCCCTGTGTGTAACACCTGGCTGATTGCAATTTGTAATTATGACAAATTACATGGCTTTAGCAGTATTTAGATTGTCATGATATATCAAGCCGGATCTCCTTTTACTCTAAAATATTTCGGAAATATTAACCAAGAAAAAAAATAGCATTTTAATATTTATCACACACAAAAAATAAAACTTTAGGAACTTTCATTTTGGGGGCGGGGGGGGGGGACTTTCATTTTAAGTATACTAGCCCTTGCCCTAGGCTGGTTCAGTTTGGCCTCAAGCTTTCCCCTTTTACATCATTATTTGGTTCTCAGCTTATTCCTTGATTCTTTTTGCTTCAAGCTCCTTACTGTCCATCTGCTTTTATTTCCTTATTGTAGGCCCTCCTTTAAATAGTGAACTGCATTGAGCATTCCCAAACATAGATTATACTTATGGCTGTTTGATCTTAGACTCACCACATGTATTCACTCTTTGAAGAGCTCATACATTTTTTTCTATGCTGACTTTAAAATCAAGGTATTTGTATGCCTGTTGCTGGGTTCTGCCAGACAGTTTGCAGTAATGGATGTTATCCAACAAAGGCACTGGCATTTGCTTTTTGCTAGGTAATTTCCTCTGGGGTATTATTAAGCCTTTGTTCCTATGAACTTCATAGACTCTCCCATTATTTCCAGGCTGACTCATACACAGAATTCTTTGCATCTCCTTGGAGTAAAAACTGTTTCCAAAATGTTCCAGTTTATTGTCTTCCTTCTCTGATACTCTTTTCTGTGGCCTCCTCGCCCCTGACACGCTGGGTATATCTCTGCTCTGTTGTTGCTGGGTGGGGTGTCTTTCCGTATCACTCAGGAATGGATGCTCTTGTACCACCATATTTTCAAACTCATTCTCTTGTTTGTTTCTTTCCTTTGTCTCTTTCGGAGACCCTTGCATGAGTAAGGAACTAATAATGATTTCCCTCCTATTTGTTGTCATGGTAATGATTAAAGGCATGCACAGACATACCTACCAGCTCCAAGAAGAGTTTTAACAACAGACCTATGCTATTCAGAATCGATTCTTGCTTTTACAAGTGCTATTTTAATTAAGTTAATAAACTCTTTTAAAATACTTTATGAATTATCATGAAAGGATCGGTAGCCAAAATATGATCAGGAATGAGAAGGAAGTCAAAGGCAGACTCCATTTCCCTTGATCTTCTTCCGAAAAGGAACAGAATGTGACAGCACCACCAAAACTTTGGGAATCTAGGAGAGGGTGCCAGCGTTGTGTGTGCTGTGCTTTTAATTTAGCCTTGACTTTTGTTAACAGGAGAAAATGTCAATGAAGGGATTTAGATTTTGATGCAAAAATCTAATTTATCTAACAAATGATTGGTTTTTACATATTCAATTCAAAACCTGACAAATAATGATAATGGTACATATTCTACTGTTATTATTATTGCTATTGCTACAGTGTAATGTGACATTACTCTTATCACCATTATTGGAACTATTACTGTTCCTAGTACCATGGCTACATCATTATGACCTTTGATTCTTTCCTGTCTTTCTGCAGTAGTCTTCTCACTAAGCTCTCTGTTCCTACTCCTGCCCCTTAATTATTCATTCGGATAAGTCTATTTTTAACTATCTGGCTATAGGCTAGATTGACTCCAAGTACTCTTCAGCAAGTACAACTTTAAATTCACTTAAGGGTATCAGAATTATGACCAAAAAATTAGTTGAGGGAAGATTAATTGAAATATACTTAAGTCTTTCCATTTCTTTACATTCTACTTCTGCAACAAGGGAGATTCACAGAAAACTAAAAACATGCATTATTACCTGTTGGCTCCTTACAAGGGGGGTTGAGTTGGCTGGTGCAGTGGCCATTGCCTTCATCCCGGATCTCTGTATGAATCACCCTTGGGAAACCTGCCATGTGTGCCTTAGTGTTTTATACTCTTCTCCATGGGGACTCGCCACAGCAGTTCATGTATGAGATAACCACATTTCTCCCAAGCAAGGGAATGTTTTCATATTGTGGGTACTGAATGGTGATACTGTCCCGATTTCTATCTATGCTTGCTCATGGGAAGCTAAAAGCCCAGTTTGTGGCCCACACACATAGCCAAAAGCTATCTTTGCGGCCTCATCCCTGACTCTGCTTTATGCCTGCATTCTTAGTTTTCTTTCTTCTTTTGCTTTTATGACCTCTTCTGGGATATCTGTATCTCCTAAGTCTTCTTAAGTCCTTTCTAGGATAAACATTTTCCATGTCTTTAAACTTTGTCAACATTGTTTTTAATTGTTTTATAATATTCCATTATAGCATAATTTATTTGATTATTTTTGGACATTTCAGTTGCCCCCCCCACACACACACACACACACTTTTTTGCTGTTATAAATAGGCTGTCATAAATAGCTATGTGTGTAGACCTTAGTTCACATTTTGGCATATTTCTTTTTTTCTAAGGTTAGGTATTCAAATTACCTAATTATTTTTCATAAAGTTGTACTGAAAGAGTTTTCCAGCCAGTGAGAGCTAAGAAGCATATTCCAAGGGAAGACAACTCGTGGTAACCAGGAATTGTTAGCTTATACTGCCCGTCAGGATGGCGGAGGAGCAGGCCGGATCAGATCACTTAGGACCTGAATTCCCAGCCAAGGAGCCTGGACTGTAGGTAGGTGCTGGGGGCCCTCTGAGGGGTTCAGCTTATGCCACGTGCACAGCACGCTGACACCATGTGCAGCATGGCTGGAAGGGATGTGACTGGAGTAGGGAGACCAGTTAAGAGACCGTTAATCTAAAAATAAAAGGCCAAAGTGAAAGGCAAGAATCATTTATTTGTGATTAAAAGAATAATTATTCTGGAAACACTGATTTAGGCAGAAACCCAAATAGTGTCCCAAAGAAGAAAGAAAAGTTAAATGCTCTTAGAGTAAAAAGTACATTCTTGAGAATTA